GCTCCTATTCCCCCCCCACCCCTGTCCCGATTTTTCACACTTGCTATCTGGTCACCCTATTCTGAAGTGATAATCAAGATAGCCCAGTACAGACAGTTTGATAAGAAGTGTGAGAATACTTACAAGGGGAGATAGGTTCAATGTTTGTAATGGCTCAGCCATTTGGGAAGACCAGACCATACTTAATTGGCCTCTCAGAGTTGGTAAGACAACTCCCACCTGTTTATGCTCTCTGTGTGTGTGTATATATCTCCTCAATATTTATTCCACTCTATATGCATCCGAAGAAGTGGGCTGTAGTCCATGAAAGCTTATGCTCTAATAAATTTGTTAGTCTCTAAGGTGCCACAAGTATTCCTGTTCATAAACTAAATTAAATTTAGTATCAAGGTTTATAAAAGGGACTACTTTGCTGTGTCTATTCATATTTATATTTTCTTCCTGTTTTAAAAAGGGGAATATTTAATAATGAAGTTACCACAAACTTTGCAGTCAGTTGCAGAACTTAAATTGAGTTTGCTACAGGTACATGGGGCCTTTGGGAAGACCAGACCATACTTGTATTCTGAGAGGAGAGAACCAGAGGGAGTAGTGAGGCTAAGGAGGGGTTAAGAGTGAGGTCATGAAATAGGAGGGGGGGAAGGGGACTCTGGAGCAGGTGACAGGGCTAGGGGAGAAGCCTTGCTGTTAGTGATGAGTCCTCTGAGTAGTAGGATTACTAAACTCAACTAATCAGCTGTAGAAGGTAGAATTAATGTCCAGCTGAGAAGATAATAGGCTACTGCTGCTTTAGAAATAGTGGAAATGTCTGTGACTGTAAGTGATCCCTTTTAGTATTGCTTTGCTTGCTCAAAACTTGGGGCAAACTTTCCCATCCCCTCCACTTGGGCTCATCTGACTTACTCTTGACTCATGCAGTCTGGCTAGGGCTATTATCTGCTTGTTCAGAATATAGCTCCAGCAGTAATCTCAATATTAACCTGCACACAAACCTGGATTGTAGAGGGAATGTATAAAGGTTAAAAACAAAACAACCCAGGAGATTAAATCTGGTGCAGGATGCCCATTAGATGAGACATTAAAGGCAATCCATTGTAACGTAATGAGATGTAGTGTACCCTTGACATAACTTGGCCCACAGAGTACTGGACGTTAGCTCTTTGTTTTGTTAGGTATTATGCTGTTTTACCTGAGAGTTAGAAACCAGTCCGTGCAGTGATTCAGGATTTACAGGTTCTTTTAAAAAAAAGAGCAGGGGTTGGAATTAGCCAGTGGTAGATAGGAGAGCTACTTCTTATATACTTCTTATACATGATTTACAGGTTCTTTAAAAAGAGCAGGGGTTGGAATTAGCCAGTGGTAGATAGGAGAGCTACTTCTTATACATTAATATTTAATCCTCTTTTACCTTCACTGCCGTTTGTGTAGAGGAAGTGAAAAGTTGGTGGAGTTAGACAAAGGAAGATAGCATAGCTTCTTTTTTCATATATATTAATATTTAATCCTTTTTACCTTCACTGCAGTTTGCGCAGAGGAAAGCGAAAGGTAAGGTTTCTAATTGTATAAAAGAGAAAATAGATTTGTCATGCTGGAGACATAATTACATGGGTAGCAGTGGTAACCCCTTTCTGACACGAGGGGAAGTAGAGCTCCTGTTTGGGGGCTTAATTGACCAGGTCAGGTCTCTTATCCCATAACTAGTTTGAAGTCTTGAGTTTAAAGCACTGAAATGCCTGAAGGAAACTAGTTCCTGACTGACGGATAGTATCTTGCAGCTGGCATAGCCAAAGCCTCTACATGTCACACGTGTGGTTTTTCAGGGGAAACTTGGTGCAACTATAAAATTCCAGTTTGAGAAATGTTTCTGAGAAACATATTGAAAAAAGCTAATTGAACTGGCCTGTTGTGTTTTGCTTAAACTTACAGGAATAGGTTTAAAAATAAATCCTAGATTTGGTAGCCTGGTGTGTTCTAGCATTTTCCATTACCCTTTTAATAAAAGGAACTGACTTTATTGCCAAGTAAATGATATAATGTCTACCACTGACAGCCTGTGTTGTAAAGTTGCTCAGTTCATTTTTATTTTTCTCCATGTTTGTTTAAATGTGATAGCTTTTCATATGTGTCTTTGAATGGTCAAACTTTGTAAACACAGAAAACTTTTCCAGCTGCACTTGAAATTGGGCAAGAAGAAATCTAATTCTTAAGACTCTAAAGAATTTCAGAAGGATAGTAAAAGTCTACTTTGAAGGATTGCATAACGCTAGCTTATTGCACCAAGCTGCCAAATGGAGGGTCAGAGTTTGAATCCCATTGCCTTTCATTTAATTAATCAGGGAGTGGTGGTAACATTCTTAACTCTTGTGGGTAGTGCTTTGTGCTACTGACATGGAGCCCCTAAGCAATGCTCTAGAGGGGGTCTGAAATTCCTGCCATTACATAATTAAGGAATCTGACCTGGAGAAGGGCTGGTGCTTGTGCCCAGATAGATAGCAGAGATATTCGGTTTGGCAGAAGGAAGCAGTCTTTAAAAAGTGAGTGTAAAATCAGTCCTGCTCTGGTGCGGTGAGATTAAAGGCTCTGTCTGCCTGGGAACTCACTGCCTGGCTCTTAAAAGGGCCCAACCATAGGGGTAGTATGTGTGAGAGAAGCCACAGAAGGAAGTTAATTGGCATACCTGTATAGCTGTACATGCCCAGTTGTTCACCTATTTATCAAAACGGAACAAAAATGTTTTTTAAAATGTATTCTGTTTGTGATTCAGTTAAAGTTGAACAGTCTGTTTCTGGATCATTCTGGAAAAGTGAAACTTTTTGTTTGACGTGTTATTACACAAAAATGAAACACTGAGAAATGTAGGAGATTTTGAGTTCCTAGTTTTCATAATTTGTCAAAAGGACATTATCATTTTAAAAGCTATCCAGTTTCAAGAAGTGTGTTAAAAGTAGCTTTCAGGTGGTGCACCTGTTACCAAGTTTCCCCTGCCTATTTTTGTGTTTTCACAACCACAGTTTTCTATTTCTACAAAGTATGTCTCCTCTGTTGCTGTGTGTAATATCCACACAAACAGCAGGGCAAACTGACCAATGAACTCTTATGAGGAAACAGTGAAACTGAGGCTATGTCTGCACTCCTACTTTTGATAGTATAATTTATGTTGCTCAGAGGTGTGAAAAAACACCCTTCTGAGCGACATGAGTTACACCAGTGGTTCTTAACCTTTACTGCAGCCTGCACCCCTTTGGTTCTCAAAATATGTTCTTGCACCCCTTCTCAAAAATCATTGAAGTAGGTCAATTCTTTAAACCTAGATATATCATAACTATATATATATATATATATGCGCCACATCATCATCTGTGCATGCATCAAGAAATACCCTGCAACGTGGCGGTACACTGTATTTTGTAGCGAGATAATTTCACTACAATTAGTTTAAAAACGGGAACATAATTTTTTTGTTTGTATATTACAGTAATCGTTAAAAAACGCATAATAATAAATAGATAAGTTTGATGAAACAAAGTAGTTGTACTTACGTGCCTGTGCTTAATTTGTGTTTTTGATGATTTACCTTCTAAAAAAATCTGGCCTGTCTCGCACCCCCAGAAAGGGCATCTCACGCCCCCAGGAGGTGCGTGCACCCAAGGTTAAGAACCACTGAGTTACACCGAGAGAAGCGCCGGTGTGGTCAGCGCTATGTCTGCGGCAGAACATTTCCCACCGACAAAGCTACCGCTTCTCATTGGGGTGGTTTAATTATGTCGAGGGGAGAGCCTACTCCTATCCGTATTGAGCGGCTACACAAGAGACCTTACAGCGGTGCAGCTGCATTGGTACAGCTGTGCTGCTGTGAGGTCTCTAGTGTAGACCTATAAAGTGGTATGCATCGGCAGTACAGTATTTGACTGCATTTACAGAGAGCCTCTGCACAGTAACTGAAAACTAAACTCTTCATTCAGGATTTTAGGAAACTGTAGGGACTCAAACTAAGGTTGGGAAAAGCCATCTGCCAATGAAGATAAACTTTAAAAGGCAGCAACTTCAGATGAAGAGAAGGCTTTGCTAGAAGCAAGTCTGCTGATCTTAATTTCATTAGTGATGAAACCAGCAAAAACTCAGTTTCTATGAGCGTTCTGATCTAATTAGCTTGATGTTATACTGTGAGTGTTCATGAACTATCAGGAGTGAGTGCTCTCAGGACTCAAGTTAACAGAAGCGGGATTTGATATGGAGCAGTGAGGAAAAGAGGTCTGCGACACCTCAGGAAGGCATAATAGAAGGAAGTATTTACCTAATATGTTAATATGAAGCCACGAAAACTGAGTCACTTCTGTAGGAGGATATAACTTCCTTATTTGGCTATTAGTTAGCAAGAGATTGAAACGATGTAAGAGTTTCTGGGGAGGAGGAGATTTATTGAGCAATGTGCACACAGTGAAACTCTGAGGACAAAAAGAGATCACTCTTCTAATGTAATGTAAATATGACAGACTTCCCAATATTTGTTCTGTAGTTTGGAAGTGACAAGTGACCTTTTGACAACAAGAGACTAATGGTGTGTAGGTGCGGTCAGAAAACATTCAGGGCCTGATCCCACAGCCCTTTAACTCTTTGTTAACTTTTCAGGCCCTTGGTAAGCATTTAATTAAATGTACATGCCTATTACAAGTTGACTCCTTTAAAGCACTCATGACCTAGGTGGCCAGGTACACTGTGTGCAGTGATGTGAATTCAAGCATCTTGTAGATTTTTTCCTTTCATGACATCTAGCGTTATGCCTTTATTTTTCTCCTCTGTGTCAACACTTCTGCACCAAACTGTGAGCTGGCACCATTCTCAGCCCTGTTCTACAGACATTCACTGAAGGTTTCCTGCCTCAGGACTGCTCAGCCTTTACCTCTCCCCAGAGGCCACTCCTGCCTCCTTTATATCCAGATTGGGGTAACGAGTCTTCAGTGGATTTGACTAACACACTGAACCCTTTCCCAGCAGGCTCAACACCTGCTAACAAGGTGAGGGGGGTTGGGTAAACCCTACCAGCCTGTTGTGTGTGAGACGGAAACTCAGATTTCCCTCTCTGTGTTTTCTGTGGATGGTTTTCCCATGGGATGAGAAGGAGGTTCAGCCCCTAAACACAATAGAGCCCCAAGATCTGAGTTCCACACTGTCTTTGGAGCCTCTGGCCCACTCCTGTTCACTCCGGTCTCCACAGCAGCGCAGCTCCAATGGAGAATGAGAGGAAAATGCCTGTCGCCTTTTGCTCACCCTCATGGATCTGTGGAAGCCCACTCTGGAGATCCAGTTCCGCAAGTGTTTCCTTTCCCCAGTCCAGAAGTTCACTGTGTTTTCATCCCCTTTGCTTACATGGATGATTCCTGGCCAGTGTGTTCTGGTGTTAAAGATTCTGGAAACTTTCTGAGGCTATCTCCTCTACTGTAAATTTAAAATGTGAGCTAGAATAAGGGTCAGAAGATTTCTGATATATGAAGATCTCTGAACTGAGCCCCAGTCAGTGAGCTGACACTTAACTGATCTTCCTTTTCTGTTGTGAAGGGGAGGTTCAGAGTAGGAAAATTAGTGGTACAAAATTTGTCTTGTTTTGTGAAGCTTGTCATTTAAACTCATAAAATACTCCATTACAACGTTACACCAGTATAAGGAATAATCCGATCATTCTTTTTACTTTGTCTTGTTCGTGAAGCTTGAACATCTGTTAAAAAAAAAGATCAGATGTAATGCCAGTTTATTATATACAATAAAGTTAGGGGACTGTGTCCTGTACTTGCACGTGTGTGTCAGGGGAAATAGGAGAGAACTGAGTATCTAGTAGTAGCTGAAGATTGATAAGAATCATGATGTTTTAGAGCCTGATTCTGACCGCAAGCTGGTTTTACACTGGTGTAATTGCATTGACTTCAGTGGAATCACTTCTAACTTACATCAATGCAAATGAGATCACACTCATAGTTATAAGCCTGGTTTAGTGGCAGCCCCTCACTGACATAGTGTTTCTGCGCTGCTCATAAAGGAGTTGATGCCTCATTTTTAGGAGCTACTTTCTTCTGGTGGTCTTTGTCTTTGTTAGTGTAGCCCTGGGTATCTCCCAAGAGTCCTTTCCATTATGGGGTTTTGGGATCTGACTGTCATCCAGGAAGATAATATTAACTTTGCACTTAATCTGACCATTTCAAAGCATTTTGCAGGCTTTTAATTACAATTGAACCTCACAATGTGTTTGCATCATTATCTCCATTTTAAAGTCAGGTAAACTAAGGTTCAGAGGTATTAAAACCTAAATTTTTCACAAGCGTCTACAAATTTTGGATGCCTCAATTTTTTAATGCCCAACTTGAGACTTTTTGGGCCTGATATTCAACAGAACTGAGCCTCCACAGCTCCCATTTTAAATCAGGATAGCGCCACATCTCTGAAAATCAGACTTTACATCACTCAAACTGGGCATCCAAAATTAGTGGAAAATGTAGGCCTTTGTGACTTCCCCAAAGTTACATAGCAAGTCTGTGTCAGAACTAGGAATAGAACCCAGGAGTCCTGACATTCAGCCCCTTGCTTTAATCTAAACATCTGTTTCCTTTGTGAAAGCACATATGCGCGTGTGTGAACACACACACAATCTGAGATTATACCTATAATTGAAAGCATGTTTTTCCCAGCCAGGTACCTGTTATCTAAACGGTAATCTTTTGATCAGTTAGCACTTGTCCAAATTTCCACGCTGGAATTAGCATAGCATTCTGCCGCATGTCTTTCATTATTTAAGCATGCAATTTTATGGCCGTACAGAAAAATATTAATCTTTGCTTTTTGTTGTTTCAGGAACTGTATTTCAAGAATCTTTCCAGACAAAAACAAATCATGGAGAAGAATGGGAACAACCGAAAACTTCGGGTTTGCGTTGCTACTTGCAACCGAGCTGATTATTCAAAATTAGCTCCTATTATGTTTGGCATTAAGGCGGAACCACAGTTCTTTGAGCTTGATGTCGTGGTGCTTGGCTCCCATCTGATTGATGACTATGGGTAAGATGGAAACTTGCATCTCTGCCATGTTGTTAGTGGCAAATCCTTGCCAACTTGAGATCCCGTATAAAGAATGGTACGTTAGTTATCGCTTAGAGAAGCAGGAAATGTTCATCCTTAGGACTGGATTTTGGGACCCACTTATGTTCAACCAAGTATTGTTTCAGATCTGATACATTAGATCGTGTTATCCATTAACATTCGGTAAAAGGGAAAATGTCCTTGTTAGGGTGCTCATTTCTCTTTCAAATCAATCATTAATAATACCAAACTTAGTACTTACTTAGCGCCTCCTAACTGAGGATCTGAGCACTTTGGCCAGGGTTTTCCAAGATGACTGAAAGTCACTGGGAATTGAGCCCAACTCTCTCAGGCTACATCTACACTACAGCACCTACATCGGTGCCGGTGCAGCTGCACCTCTGTAGAGCTTGTGGTGGTGACATTCTAAGTCGACAGGAGAGAGTTCTCCCGTTGGCTTAATAACTCCTGCCTCCATAAGAGACAGAAGAGCTTTCCCCGCCAAAATAGCGCTGTCCACACTGGCGCTTAGGTCGGTGCAACTTGCGTCGCTCAGGGATGTGGATTATTCACCTACTTGAGCGATAGAAGTTATAACGAAGTAACCTGCAGTGTGGACAAAGTCATAGGCTTCTATGAAAATCCCAGCCTGAATAAATATAAATTAATTAAAATTACTCGTCTTCCTGGAAATGATTTACCTTCTGTTGTAACAAGTAACAGTTATGGTTACTGTAATATTGTTCTCCATCTTTTCCAGTTTATTTTGAGCATGTTGTATCCCTTTTATCAGTTTCTAAGCTAACAGAGCTAGAGCCATGCAAACACTCTTGAGTACACACCAGTCCTAAATCCCATTTTTGAAGGTAATTTAGGCATGATGGAGACTAAATTTCATCGACTTTCAGTCTGACATAGGCTCCCAGGTGCCTAAGCCACAATTGAAAATAGGACTTTGGCTCCCAAGTCACTTAAGTGCTTTGGAAATCTTTACCCAAAGTCTGTTAGAAAACAATAATTTTGTCTGAGAAAGTTAACTTTGTCCAGACAGCCCACATCTATTTCTAATGGGAGTCCCAGGTTCTTGTATTCATCTGGTGGCAGGAAGGGTTAATCCTATGGACTGGGCAGGTGACTCTTGATTTGGTATTACTAGGGCTCAACAGCACACTTACACTTCAAATCACTTCTGTGCCCCTCAGCAAGCAAGAGGCATCTGTAAGGTATGTGGCCTTTCCTGCACAACCACTTAGGAAGGCTTCTTCCAAACAAAGACATTCTTGTAGATCGAAACACTAAAACTAGAGCTGTCAAACGATTAAAAAAAAAAAATCACAATTATGAGATTAAAAAAAAGTCGTAATTAATGAGAGTTTTAATCGCGCTGTTAAACAATAATAGAATACCAATTTACATGTATTTGTGCATGTTTTTCCACATTTTCAAATATACTGATTTCAGTTACAACACAGGATACAAAGTGTACAGTGCTCACTTTATATTATTTCTGATGACAAATATTTGCACTGTACAAAAGATAAACAAAAAATAGTATTTTTCAATTCACCTCATACAAGTACTGTAGTGAAATCTCTTTATCATGAAAGTGCAACTTACAAATGTAGATTTATTTTTTTTTACATAACTGCACTCAAAAACGAAACAATGTAAAACTTTAGCGCCTACAAGTCGGAGCATGAAAGAGCATATGAATGTTTAGCACATCTAGCATGTAAATACTTTGCAACACCAGTTACAACAGTGCCATGTGAACACCTGTTCTCACTTGCAGGTGCCATTGTAAATAAAAAGTAGGCAGCATTATCCCCCGTAAATATAAACAAACTTGTTTGTCTCAGAGGTTAGCTGGACAAGAAGTAGGACTAAGTGGACTTATATGAGGTGAATTGAAAAATACTGTTTCTTTTGTTCATCTGTTTTTATCTACTCCCAGGAAAGTCAGTGGACCTGTTTACACTCCCATTGAAATAAATGAGAGCCTTGCCTTTGATTTCAATGGGAGCAGGATTGGGCCTGCGGACTCTTGTGACTGAAGCAGCAGTCAGTTAGCAGCAGGCTACCGCTGCAGAGTAAGTCTCTAATACAGAGGGGGCCAACCTGAGCCTGAGAAGGAGCCAGAATTTACCAATGTACATTGCCAAAGAGCCACAGTAATACGCCAGCAGCCCCCCATCAGCCTCCCCCCTGCTCCTAGCACCTCCCACCCACTGACAGCCACGCCAATCAGCGCCTCCCCTTCCCTCCCCATCAGCTGTTTCATGGCGTGCAGGAGGCTTTGGGGGGGATGGGGGAGGAGCGAGGGCACTGCAGGCTCCGGGGAGGGGGTGGGAAGGGATGGAGTGGGGGCAGGGCCTGTGGCAGAGCCAGGGGTTGAGCAGTGAGCACCCCCCAGCACATTGGAAAGTTGGCGCTTGTAGCTCCAGCCCCGGAGTCGGTGCCTATACAAGGAGCTGCATATTAACTTCTGAAGAGCCGCATGTGCTCTG